AAAAAAAAAAAAAAAAAACAAAAAAAAAAAGAAGAAAAGAATTACCGCTTGATCGTCGTGTATAATATCGTCTTCGTGATTCACGGTATCACGAGAAATCACTTGGATCGATTCGCGGAACGCGCGACATTTTTTCCCGAAGACGCTGCTGGGATCATTCAAACGCGAAACGAGCGCGGAACGCCGCCGCGATGTGAAGCGAGTTGAAGCGAGTTGTGGCGAGTAGCGACGAGGTGAGGTGAGGTAGGGCGAGTTGAAGCGAGTCGTGGCGAGTTACGACGAAGCGAGGTGAGGCGAGGTGAGACGAGGTAAGGTGAGGTGAGGTGAGACGAAGTGAAATGAGGTGAGGTGAGGTGAGGTGAGGTAAGTTCAGAAGCGGTGAGGTGAGGTGAGTTCAGATGCGGCGAGGTGAGGTGAGGCACGATGCAGTGTGGTGCGGCACGGTGAGGTGACTAGGTAAAGCGAGATGAGAGGAACAGTGACGAGGCGAGGCAAAGTGAGACAGGACGAAGGAGCGCGTTAGGCCGCGCCAGGAGTCGGTTGAAGAAACTCGGTCCCTGGTATTCCTGATCCGCTATCGTCTCTATCCTATGTCCCCTGACCCTTTTCCCCTCTTTTGGTTCGGCGAGTGGTCCACTGCGGTAGCTGGTTCTATGCTCCGTTTCTCTCTCTGTTACTCGTTGAACGAACCGCTGCTAACTGACTACGCGATCCCACAAGCATCCTTCACGTTCGAGGGACCACGTGACTGGGCTCGAACTCGAGCTCTAGACCGAGTTCTCGAGGCAGCAGCCAGGCAGTGGACGTGCTATGCCGAGCCTCTGCATCTATCTTTCTCGATCGTGTATATACGTGTGCGACGTGGTGCACTAGTGTGCCAGCCATCAACTAGCCAGTCAGCCAGCCAACCAGCAAAAGGACACACCGGAAAGGCTCATAGATCGAAACGGCTCATAGATTGAACCTGCTGTCGCGATAATATCTCCAAGTGCAGAGACAGTACATATATAGAATGCAGACATCGACGAAAGCTTCGTACTTTTTAAAAATTACAAATCATTCGAACACGATTTTTTTCGAATTTGTTGTTACTCGCAACTACGTTGT